GTAAACCTACAGACATCGGTCTTGTTTAACAAAATCTGCCTACAAAAAAATCTGTCACCAAAGTACACCAATATATGTATATATAAATATATGTGTGTGTGTGTTTGTTTGTCATCAAGTTTTCTTGAAAACAGCTGAATGGATTGGATGAAAGTGGTGTACATTTAGACTATGACCCAACTTAAAAATGATTAATTTTTGGAGGGTCAAGGTCACAAAAATAAATAAAAACATCCCTATCTGTTAACATTGGGACTGATTTTTCACAATATTTTCACTCTATAACTCAGTCAAAAATGATTGGAATTTGATGGATTTATGTAGAATATTATTCCTCATTATCCTGCCAAAAATTGTTCATGTCTGTTGATAACAGCAGACATACAGACACATTTTCATATTTTTTGAAAACTGAATATGATCAACACTGTGTGATTGAAGAATGCACTCTTCTGTTGGATAGTTGACATTACAAACACAAAGCATGTTGTAGGGTACTTTAGGGAGTTGATGTAGTGGAGGACAAGATTATTTGGTTATTTTAGTTACTCTAGTTTTTGATTGTAAAACTTAGCTCTTTTTAACAAAAGTTATCCCAGTTGTATTGATAAAATTCTTCTATTTCAGGAAGCGATTGATTCTTCTTACTGTAGCAAGATCTATCTTACTCGTATAGATCACGATTTTCAATGTGATGCATTCTTTCCCGAGCTTGACACTAACAAGTACCTATTAATCAGGTGTGTATTTTTTCATATTTGCTTAATAGCTCTCAAGTGCAAGATATTTTATGAAAATTTCAGATATATATATATCTTTCACCACATTCATAATAATGTTAAATGTGAAGTAAAACTCAGGCTCATTCTAACCTTATTTGATGTTTTGGAGGAACTAGTATTCTTCCAATACAATATCTTACCTCCTCTCACAGATATCTTTAACAATTAGTTCTGTCCTCTATTTGCACAAATTTTTCACTTGCCACTAGCCTCGTAAATCCTGCTTCTTTGTTTATGTCTACATGTAAATGATCATGCAGCAACCCTCCATCAATAGGAGTGTGACTATTGTAACTTGTGCCCTCTCTAATAATGCACCTGTTAATCACTTCTCGATTGGCAGTATTACTATTAAGATGTGTTTCTTTTCGCTCACAAATTTTGGAATCATTTAATTTAGTACAGTTTTTTCTAGATATTTTTTTCTGGTTAATTTGTTTTCTTTAGTTTGAGTATAAAAATTTGAAAGTACGCACTCACAGTTTCAAATACCTACAACTGCTACTATTGTTTCTGCTTAGGCATGTTTACCGACCACATCTTCAGGGTCGGGCCCGCAGTTATCAGTCGACGACGTGACTTATATGATTCATAGTGAGTTGTCTCATTTTATTCAACATTCACCATGATGTGAGGAGTATCTTGTGTTGCCTGCACCTGGTGTGTCTGAGAGGGCGAATTTCGATAGCCTTTTTCCTCCTTCACCCTTTGATGACTTGATCAATTATGTATATATGATTTTATTTTTTCCTGTTTCCTATGTTTCTGCCACTATCATCCATGGTGACAAATCTTTGGGTCAGTATTTGGTTTCTACACCTTCACCAGATATTGGGATTCATGCTAGTCATTTTGGGGAACAGTTGTGATGGGAGGGTCAATATGACTTGTCTCCCACAACAATTAGACGATCATGCTCTTGCATTTCTTCATGCCAACTACCCCTTTTTAGACTTGCAACATTTGGAAATTCTTATTTCTTTGTGAGGTTTGGACACTAATACCTAGGTTTCATTTTCCCAACCTCAATTTTCCCATCTTCACGACAGTTTGGAGTCCAGGGTTGAATTTGCCCATTTACATCACTCCATTTCTTCTTTGACATCTCATTTGTCACAACATTCTATTCCTATATCAGTGTCATGCCCATCTTCATCTTCCTCTGTGCCAGTCCCAGCTGCTCTTTCTTCGACTTTCTGCAATCAATTGATTGCCTGTCGTCTTCTCTGAGGCACTCAGCTTCAGTGACTTGGTTCAAAAATTGGGGCCAGGCTATTTTACTTCGCCCACACTTGGAGGACTTTTACGGTAGATCTGTGGTTTTTTAAAGTCATTTCCCAAGGTTGGGCTTTCCACAGGATCCCATTTCATGCCAGCATTTGTTGAAGTCTATTTGTTCTTGTCTATTTGTTGTTCGCATGGGCTTGTTTTTCAGTTTTAGGCTCCCTGTGTGTTTTATTGAGTTGTTCAGTCATTTGTTTGACTGTTTCATTCCCGGGCCTTTGTTTCCACAATTACATGAATGACTGGCTGCTGCTGGTCATTCTGCACTCGTTAATTGGTATGTTCTTCGGGAAGTTGACTGGGTTGGTTGGCTGATCAAATTAGGGAAGTCGATCCTTACACCTACCTTTTTTCTGGTTCATCTGGGTGTGTTTTTCAATTCACTTTTCAGTCAGGCCCAGCCTTCTCCATTTATCTGCAAGACATGGAATGGCTAGTTTATAAGGTCTCCTCCTCACTGTCTCTTTCTGATAAGGATCTATCTCTTTTGGAGACATGGGCCTATCTCGAGGCACTCATTCCCTTGGTCATGCCCACATGTGCCATCTACAATGGGCTTTACTCAACCAATGGAGCTTTGTTCAAGATCCCTTGGAGGCTCCTCTTACCCTTCTCTGTCCATTACGTGTGGACTTTGCCTGGTGGATGGATCAGACCAATACCACCGTGGGAGTTTCTCCTCCTTGTCCAGATTGGTACCTTTTTTACCGATTCTTCCCTTTCTGGTTGGGGAGCATATCTTGATGGTTTGGAAGTGTCAGGAAGGTGGACATGACACTTCCATAATCCACTCTTCATTTCAATATCTTGGAGCTTCTTGCTGTTCAGTGAGCTGTTCTACACTTCATGTTATCATTTTGAGGACAAGTGGTGATGGCACATTCAGACAATTCAACAGTGGTGTCCTACACCTCCAAGCAAGGAGGCACCTAATAGAGGGATCAGTGTAAGTCATGTATTGGGCCGATGGCCACCAAATTACTTTGTTGGCATGATTTATAACAGGTGCCATGAATCTGGCAGCAGTTCATTTATTCCGACCCAACATAATTCTACTGATGGAGGGAAGTTGTGTGCTCATTAGGTATCCCCGATTTGGCTGCTATTGTGTCTCATCTCAACACTACACTTCCACGTTTTGGTTACCTGTTCTTCATATGCAGGCATATGTAGTAGATGCTCACAGCCAGACTTGGATGAACAGTTACCTATATGTTTGTCCTATTTGATTTATTCCTTCTGTCTTTTTGATAGTTCAGGCCACTCCTTGATGGGTTCTGTAGGTGGCACCATGTTGGCCGGCTCAGACGTGGTTTTCGCTTCTATAACGACTGTTGATGTCACCACCCATCCCTTTCACTTTGTTTCACATGCTTCTTCATCAGCCCAACCTATCCACATTCCATCTTAATGCATGGCTTTTGTCTGACCTTTCTAGGCATGTTGCCTCCTTTATTTTCCAACCTGTTCACCCCTTCTTGTTGGTAGTTTATCAGCGTAAGTGCACTACATCTCATTCTTGGTCTCTATCCTTCTCGTCCTACCATTCCTCATCTGTCGTCCTTTTTCACTTGATTTTATGACAAGGGCCTCTGTTTTCTCTATTGCTAGTTGCCAGCCGGTTTTGTATACAACTTTTAGTTCACTGAATTTTCGTCAGTGTTCCAGTATCCTGTCATGACTTTGTTATTTCATTTCTTCTCCACTGGCCATTCCCATGGTCAAACTCCCAGTTACAGTCTGTCACACCCTAGCTTCTCAACACATATGAGACTCCATAATGATGAAACCATTATTGGTCCTTCCAGGTTCCTGCCTTTTCATTTTGGTGACACTTTGATACAGGGTGATGAGTATACCTGGCTTGGAAGTGATGTTGTTTCCCTCTGGTGTGATGTGTCTAATTCCTTTTCTACACCTCATGGTCTTTCTTGGGGTACTTTCTAAAAGAGGATCATCTTCTCACTAACTCTCCATCTTTTCAATGTGGGATTCTAGCTTTATGTGGAAAGAGGTAAGATATCCTATTGAAATAGTATTTTTGAATAGATACTTACCTCCTCTTGCATTTCCCACCTGTTCTCCCCACTTCCAGTATATTGGTTACATTGGTCTTGGCCAATCTCAAAGTGATTAACAGGTGCATTATTAGAGAGAGCACTAATTACAATAGAAGTAGTGTTGCACTCCTATTGGTGGAGGGTTGCTGTATGATAATTTACATGTAGACATGCAGAAAGAAGCGGAAGTTACAAGGCTTATGGCGATTGATAAATTTGCACCAATAGAGAGCAGTACTAACTGTAAAAGATATTTGTGAGAAAAGGTAAGTATCCATTTGGAAATACTTTTAGTTAACTTTAATTATTAAAGTTCTGAATTTGGTGTTTCTACAAATGTTTGATGAGGATAATCAATGTTATTCATGAAGCAGAGGTGCCCATGTTCTACTTCTAAACTTGTGTAATTCATACAAGTGTTGTACAACAAAGTTTTCTTTCAATAAATTACTACTGAACATTTTAAGATTACACTAAAATAAGTAAGAAACCTGTTCTTGTGCACAGTTGCTTCCTTTGATTATGACTGTGGCTTGAGTTTCAGTTATAGACAAGCACCTAAATCATATTTTTATCCTTCAAAATTGTTAATTAAGCTCTGGAACTGAAGCATGTACAAATACCTTTTCTTTCTGGGTTAAGTTGATAAAAAATCTAAAATCATTTTGAACAGTATGTGCATATTAATTTTAGCATATTTTGTTTCATTATTTATTTGTTTCTTTATAAGTGCTAATAACAAAGAGGTTTGAGTAGTGTTTAATATTAATTTAAAAAACACTAGAGCATGTTGATTCAAGTATCTAAAAAGTATTACAAAGTGAAAGTGAAATTATAATAATAAAATATGTAGTTTTCTCTATTATCCCTCTTGAGTATGTGTCAAAATTTAAAATGTGCATGTTTGTCTATTGAGTTTTAAGATTTTATGTACTTAGGTTCTTGTTATCATATTTCTTTTCTAAAAACAAACTTGAATTGTTTCTTAATAAAAAGCGTGTTATTTACACTTTCATGATTATTTTCTAATCTGGATATCAGAACATGTATATACAGGCTATGCATTTTTTAAAGCTTTATTTCATGTTTTTTAAATGTATATTTATCCAGCTGTTTGTGGTGTCATAAGTCTCTAACTGAATGAAAAACTTAACTAAATTCATTGTAATGGATTTTGATTTATATAGTTATATTCAAATTTCTGTTTGCGGTATTCCACCAGAAAATTGTAAGTATATGCAGTAAAACAGGTTTCAGAATCGTTAGGCAGAAAATATTTCAAATATAGACAGCAAAGAAAAAAGTCCACAGTCAAGTGCACTAGTAATATAAAAGTCTTTATTCACAGAAAAATTGGTACTCTGTCAATACTAACTAGCTTTGGTGTTTGTTATTTAGATGTCTTTGATCACCAGAGCAGAAAGGAAAAATGTCTGCATAAACAAAGATAGGAATCAAAATCATAATGTTACCACGCTTTCAAGTCAGACAAAAGTCATAATGTGGTATTCTAGATTCCTAAATTCCTTAATTACTCATTAAAAGCAAAGAAGATAAATACTCAACTTGTAATAATTTGTAAAAATCTGTGTACTACTACTTTAACTCAGCATGAGGGGTGATAACATTTCTAGTGTCTAGTCACAGTTGCATGTCAAATTTCAAAACTGAAGAAAATTAATAACAATTATTGGAACATTTAGAATTAACTCAAGTATTTTATAATTGATATTGTCATTTTGTATCATTTATTTAATATAGTAAATTGCAAAGAAAAATGAAAAAAATGTTTCAGCTTATATTTCTGCACAGCTCTGAAAGGTCTTGCCTGTGAATAATTCATTTATTAATTTGTTTATAATTTTTTCATATTTTAATTGAAATGTTTATATTTGGTAAAACTATAATAATCTTGTCATGTTTTTCTTGTGATTTGCCTTCTTTTTTAGAGTTTATTACTACAACTCTTTGTTGCCAACATTTATATATGATTGCATAAAGGAGATTATTATAATTTATAGGAAGTAAACTGGCAGTAATTTGTGGATTATTAAGATATTAACTTACTTGAATTCCTGTAGGCATAAATAAAGAAATCTTATACTAAATTTCATGTATTTTGGTGAGAAGTAAAATATTAGGGTATTTTAGTGAGACTCACTGGTCCAGAAAGAAATTCAAAAAGAAATGCAGCAGGAAGAACATTAGTAGCACTAAGTTACAAATTATAAGACATATCCATGAAGTGATAGATTTACACTGCCTTCCAGATTTAACCTTAATTTTCATGTTTCACCTGTTACAAAAAGCAGATATGAATGCTTAAAATCTGTTCCACCATTCATTATTTGCAGGCGGTTGTGGGAATAAAACCAGTAGGTTATAAAAACAGACCAATGGGAGTGATAAGTAAAACTTATCACCTGAAATACTTTCCAGCCACCAAGTTGGACAAAAAGTTAGTCACACTTGAAGAAATTAATGAACCACAGGTGTTCTGGCAAAAAATGATACTGTTAGATTGAAAACACAATATTACCTCATTTGTCAAATTCAAAAGGCCTTTTCCTATTTTAATGCAGATTTGAAAATATCTGTTTGTTTAACTTAGTGTTTCATAATTCCAGTAGTGGGATTCGCCTTATAAGCACTTATACCCTTAAGCAAATTAACAAATTACTTTTCATACTTGTATACATTAAACATGATCTCAAGCTATGTAATGATAAGTTCTTCAAAATAATTCATACCCTGCCAGAATGAAATTTACTGTCATTCTATTATGTATAATAAAACGTTAGTATGTGTTCAAATCAAATAGCCATATTTTTATGAATACTTCATAAACTGGAAATTTCTCTAGTACGTGTGGAAGTTATTTTTCTCATTTAAGAAAATATATTTATTACTGCATTTTGAGTTTGTATTATCTTACAAAATTGTCTATGGTTTATGATATTTGATTTTAACAAAACAGTCCAATTATCCATCTCTTTTTGTGGATGCTCTTAAAAGCAAAATAAACATTAACAGGGCTTGACTGACAGAGCATGACATTTAGTAATGTTTTATATTACATTCTAATAAAGCTAATGATAATTTAACTTACATCACTACTTACTGGACTAATGTAGGTTTTCAGTGTTATGAAGTGTATGTAATAGATTTTTAAATACCTTGTTATGTATGTTGTTATCTGAACTCTTAGTTGAAACTTGCTTTTAGAACTAAAACTAAAATACTAGTTCTTTTGTCTTTCACTAGAAAGTTATTCTAAAGTGCTATATTTTATTTAATTATTACAATGTTGTACAATTTTGTGCTTTGATTCTCATAAAGTAGTTTTTTTGTTGTTGTTTTTTTTATAAATCAGTAAGAGTGTTTTTGCTATGAGCACTCATTCTACATGTCTCTTTCCGAAACTTTTTAGTTTGAGTGGAAAAACATTAATGAATCATGTAGGTGTAACTACACGTAATAAAAATAATTAATCTCAGTTGGTCACCCAGAGTTTTGATATAACTAATTTAAACACCTTAAGACCTAAAGTCTGATTCTAATAACCAGTCTTAAAATACGTTGTTGTTGTTGTTTTCAGAGATGCTGAAGTTTTGCAAGAAGAACAAGAAGAAAATGGTATCAAGTACAGGTATGAAGTTTATAAGAGACATGCACAGCTGTAACTCTCATAATTCCATACATATATATGACTGAGTAAAATAATCTTAGTTTATGTAATATCTCAGATTAATATTTTGTTACCTGCTTATACTATGGATATAAAATTGAAATAAAGTTTAGACTTGTATAACAGAATTTGAAAAACTTTGTATGGAATATTAATAAACCAGTTATATAGTTGTCAAGTTGGATATTGCACGATTTTCAGTTGTATGGCAAATCAAAATACTCTCGTGCTTTAGTATGAGACGTAACTTTCAATGGATTATAAGTAAAACGTACAGACAATCTGATGTAAAACTATAAACATCAAGAACAATATAGCCAGATATTTTGACAGTGAGGAATAAGCTTGTACCTAGGGTCTGTAGAACTTGCTTGTTCAAGTGAGCAGAATTTGAAGATTGCTATAAAGCACAAGTGTGTTTTATCCACATAGCTGTTCTTTTGAGAACATGACTGTTCCATAATTTTATAACACACTACAAGGCACTTTTAAAAGAAATGATATAAATTAGTCCAAATATTGTGCAAGTGCACAAAATGTTTGGTTACATTGAAACCATATAAAACATTTATTTCTTCAGTAAACAGTATTATTTTCCTAGTTTTCATTATGTGAATTTTGTAGAATATTGTATTTTTTAAAAAAAGACCAGGATTCCTTTCTTTTTCATGAGAGTGAAAACGAAGAGTAAAAAATGGGATATTTTTCATTCTCCAACATGTTTTATATCACCATTTCTTACTTTAAGTCATTGACAAAATGGCTAATGTTGTTTGCTTTTTATCATGGGAATTTCAGACTAAAATTAACTTCTGACAACCATATCAGTATTTAGTTGTATAAGTAACAATAAGAAATGTGAAACTACATACAGCAATTAATCAAAGTTGATGCAACAAACCAAATACACAGATTAAACTGGTGTTATTGAAGCATAATGATTCATAAAGTCTACTTACAAAATGTTAATTGTTAGATTGGATCAGTGTTCGGTGTTTTTAAGTTCATGAATAAGGTTTATGTCTCTCGGTTTTCATAGAACATTTTATATAAGGAAGAACATACGAAATTTCAATAATTCTTCACACAAAAAATCATCAACTGAGAACATACTTCATTATGTCAATAAAAAAAATGTTCAGTAAGAAAAAACTTCAGCTTTAAATTTTTTAACTAGACTATATGCTTACTGAGACATGAGTGTGTAAAAGGCATCTATTTTTAATTTGGAAAATATAATATTCTTGTGAGTAGTATGTATTTGTGTATTAATTTCACTGTTTTTTTTTTTAAACTAGTACTGAAAAGTCATTTCACTCAGTACCAAGAAGCCAACTGGAGTTTAATTTAAATTTCTCATTTTAATAGATATACAGAATAAATAATCATAAAAAGCATGAAAGAAAAGACCCTAAACATTGCATATACTTATAATTAAAGGTATGAAATTACTGTACATACATTTACATGTCTGCTAATTGTGAATACACTGTAGGTAGTAAAGAGTGAAACATGAAACAAATTTTTATGGAGGATCACGCACTTCGATTTTTACCTAGTGACAAGAATGTGGAGACCTGTAAAGGTTTTATGCCTTTACATCCATAATTTTTCTTTTCTTTTTGGTAGCTTCTATATATGTTGTGGTGGTAATATATGGAAACCTGTTTTTCGAAAAGTTTCTTAGGCAATATACCACTAAAGAGTAGTTAAAAAAAAAACAATTATTCCAAGTTACAGTTGAAATGGTTCAGTTAAAATGTTGATTGAATCAAAATGTAAACTTTGAAGGTTAAAGGCACCCAAGATCAATAAGTGCAATATAGGAAACTTCATATGATTTCATGTTAAAACATAGAACTTAGCATTGTTGAATACCAGGTGTAGGTATACCTACACATCAGTAGTTGTGACATTCAATTTTCGTTTATTTATCTTGACATTGAACTAAAATGAAACATTTTTTTGTAATCTTATGTACTTGATAAAATATCTGTATATATTTATCAGAATATCAAAAGCGGATACCCACAGACCAGCCAAGTAAGCTGGAAAAATCTTGTAGGAATAGTCCGAGCTGTCTTGGGGCTAGCCCCGCTGACGTGATCAGGTAGGTAGAAGGCATAAAAGATGCTGTTTGAGAAATTATTGAATTGTTGTACCGAAAATGTTAGTGACATTTTAAGCACATTATTAGTATATATGCACATAATATACCATAACCAATACTTTGAATGGTCGGTTTTTTTCCACTTAGGAATTCAATAGGGTGGTCTTTTGGCACATTAGTTATTTAGAAACCTTGTTGATTCCTACTATGAAGTACTACCATACTTAATAATAGCTTTCTATTTTTGTGTCAGGTTATGTGATTCAAATAAGCATGTTTTTGGTTTTGAATTCTGTTCATTACAACAGTTTTAATTCACAGAAGCAGTGCTATACATGATTTGAAAATACTTAAATAACTAGGTAATGGTAAACATATCATGGACGAACTAAAATATGTTTTCAACCTAACGGATGGCGCTACATATCAGTGGACAGACACGCAACAGTTTCTAAAGGTAAATATATATTTTATGCAGGTATAACAGAAAAAGTAAACACATGAGAATATTAAAAATTATGAAATTGAAAATGAAATTCGGATCCTGCTACAAAAAATAATGTTAAAAAATTAAAACCACAATCAGAAATTTATACAATGTGATTTCTACTTTGGCAGTTTTATACACTTATCTCTAGGACATTGTAAGAAATACATTTTATAAATTTGTAAATCTTGTGGTTTTAATTCTTGTAAAAGGTATGACTATACTGAAAGTTGATAGACGTTTTATCTATTTCATGGACAAATAAAAACTGAACAAGTAATTAGGAAAAAAATTAAAATATTAACAAAAAGTAGGGGATCGGTTATTTCCTAGAATTGCCATAAAAAGTATCCAAATTTGCCAACCAAAGTAGAGTTGAATTGGGTTGGAAAGGTATTTAAATTTAGACAGCTTCATTTCTATACGGATCACAATGCCAACCAAAGAAGGGACTGAAAATCGTTTTAAAATTTATCCAACTCTTATCACTTTACATGTTTGAATAGAGTTGTTTAAACATTTGTTTAACAACTACTATAAAGGCTTGGTTTGGTCCGCTATTTCATTGGTGGTAGTGTCCAGAGTCACTGATGAGGAGTGGAATTCTCCGAAACTAGTCTGGCTCACAGACAAACTCCCAATGAAAGAATGAATGTGACGGTCAATCCCACTATCC